CCTATTCGCGTGATCCCGGCCTCCGATACCTTGGTGAGCCCTTTGCCCCACCAATTTCGTTTTCATAAATGTACTAACTACTAGCAAAAGAACAGTAGAGAGTATCTACAAATTTAGGGTGTCGCAGTTGATTGAGCCCGGAAATGACAACTGGATCAAAACAGATGACAGGTATAGATCGCTTCTACAAATCAGCAACTACTACGTCAGGTTCTGGGAGCACTGTACATCGTATGTAGTTGTAAAATATATATGACCGGGGGCTTGAGATTCTTGCTTTCCGGTAAGTAATGCTGTGGAAAGCTCTATGTTCCCTGTTCCACCTGATGGTTTTTTGTTAATGCCTCATGTTTACTTAGTGCCGCTCAGAAAATTAACCGGTTTTGATGAAAACTTAAATTTATATTGGATTTGCTTGTGTCGTTTTGATAGTTAGAGTTCTTCGCCAGATTCGATCAATTACTTGTCAAAATTCTAAAAATGTCGCCATCCAAAGAGTTGACTTGGGGCACTTTTCACTTTCTTCGCACGTAATTGTTATTTTTAAAAATCTTTTTAGAAAATGGTGAAGTCCAAACTGACTTCCGAGGATGACTTACAGTGTGACGAATGGATTCCTGTCTCCCTACTCTGCCCCCTCACTCTTACACGGATCGACGTGAGTTTAGATGTTTTCGCCATTAAGGCCCTGCCATGTGATCCGTTTACCATGGACTGTTTTCTTGAGAGATCGTTAGTCCTTCTTTGCGAAAATGTCATACGGTCGGTAATGTTGGAAATTTTCTATGTTAAATTTAACCCCAACTCACTGGCTGTGGCCCGTATCCCCAAAATCTCCCAATATCAATCGCCTACCGTTTTTTGTATGCTGTAGATGCAGATAATAAGAGTAGAAGCCTATTATGACCCACCAACAAATACTCTTAATTTTACAGTTTTCAATTTTGTTTGTCCCAGTGGTAGTGCACCGTGTTTTCATAATGCTATTGTATGCGCAACATACGTTCCCTTTTATGGCCAGTTTGTACGCTAGAGTTGAACCCAATCGAGCATATCGGGGAGTTTACCGGTCACAAAATCAACCAGTCGGATGACTTCTGGATGACCGCAAAGCCCGCAGCGCATGGAACACAGCATTGGTCTTGGTTCTTTGGGCAATGTGATTATGCGTATGACAAGTCGGAGAAACTGGGAGATTACTCCGGACGCAAATAGCCGAGCCCGCAGCAGCGGTGAGGATGAAAGGCGCTAATTCCCAGGTTGCAGCTCACTTGACTGAACTAGGCCATCTATTCGAGTTAACCGACGCCGAAATTCTCACAAGCAGTGAAGAACGCATGAACTGCGAGCTGTTCGAGTCATGTTTTTCAGGCCGGCCAGCGCAACGACTTGCCGTTCCCATACTCTGTACTGAGACGTTGTCTCTGCAGGAGGATTATTTACGTGGGGAGGGCTGGGCCCAGCAACAACTTCGACGACGGCTTATATAATTCTCGCGTCAATTGCTGACTCGGAGGCGGACTGCCAATCCATCCCCTTCCCAATTACGAACCCCAGTGGTGGGTACCGGAAGCTATAAATACTGCGTAATCTATGCATATATCATCCTCTTCTACGGTTACCTCTGATGAAGGGTTCTCGAGAGGATCCGAAACGTCATGCAAATAAAAATCCTGCTCCAGCGATCGCATCTTCTACTTCTAAACTGCCTCCTAGAACTCGCCCATTCGCTTCTATTGTCAGGGAGTTTATCGGTCACAAAATCAACGAGTCGGAGGAT